GATGCGGGCGACGTTGGTACGGCCGTTCTGCGTACGGGCACGTCGTCGCGGACCGTTCGAGCATGGCAGGCACAGTATGCGGGCCCTTGAGCATGCCGGCGCATCTGCGGGCCCTTTGAGCATGCGGGCACATGATACGGGCTCGAGCATGCGGGCACATGATACAGGCTCTTTGAGCATGCTGGCACGTGGTGCAAGCACGCTGTGCGGGCAGATGGTGCAAGCCCTTCGAGCGTGCGGGCAAATGGCGCGGGCCCTTTGAGCATGCGGCATGTGGTGCGGGCCGTTCAAGCATGCGGTCACATCTACGGGCCCTTTGAGCACGCGAGCACGTAGTACGGGCTCTTCAAGCATGCGGGCACATCTGCAGGCCCTTTGAGCATGCAAGCACGTGGTACGGGCCCTTCGAGCATGCGGGCATGTGGTACGGGCCCTTCGAGCATGCGGACACGTGGTACGGGCCCTTCGAGCAGGCGGACACGTGGTACGGGCCCTTCGAGCATGCGAACACGTGGTACGGGCCCTTCGAGCACGTGGGCACGTGGTGCAGGCCCTTCGAGCATGCGGGCACATCTGCGAGCCCTTCGAGCATGCGGGCACATCTACGGGCCCTTCGAGCGTGCGGGCACGTGGTACAGGCCCTTTCGTACGTGCGGGATATCTGCCGACCATCCAGCATGCGGGCACGTCTACGGGCTCTTCGTACGTTGGGGCACGTCTGTGAGCTCTTTGAGCATGCGGGCACGTCTGCAGGCTACTTGAGCATGCGGGCACGTCTACGGGCTCTTTGAGCCTGCGGGCACGTCTACGGGCTCTTTGAGCCTGCGGGCACGTCTGCAGGCTCTTTGAGCATGCGAGGACGTCTACGGGCTCTTTGAACATGCGAGCACGTCGAGCAATGCGTGCACGTGGTACGGTCTCTTCGAGCGTGCGGCGCACGTGTGCGGTTTCTTCATACGTGCCGGCATATCTGCGGGCTCTTTCGTACGTGCAGGCTGTGTGAGGGCTCTTTCGTACATGGGGTCACATCTGGGGGCCTTTCGAGTATGCAAGCACATCTGCGGGCTCGAGCATGGGGGCCGTGGTACGGTCTCTTCGAGCGTGCGGGTACGTTTGCGGGCTCTTCGTATGTGCGGGCTTGTCGTACATGCGAGCATGTCTGCGGGCTCTTCCAGCGTGCGGGTACATGTGCGGGCATGTCTGCGGGCTCTTTTAGTGTGCGGGTACATGTGCAAGCGCTTCCAGCATGCGGGTACATGTGCGAGCGCTTCCAACGTGCAGGTGCGTGTGCGGGCTCCTCCAACGTACAGGCACGTGTGCGGGCTCTTCGTACGTGAGGGTATGTCTACGGGCTCTTCCAGCGTGCAGGTACATGTGTGGGCTCTTCTTACGTGCGGGCATGTCTGCGGGCTCTTCCAGCGTGCGGGTACGTGTGCGGGCTCTTCCAGCGTGCGGGTATGTGTGCGGGGCTCTTCGTACATGAGGGCAAGTGGTACGGTCTCTGTGAGCGTGCAGGCATGTAAACTGTATAAATCAACCAAACGACTGCATTTTGGAGCTTCAAACAGAAAACCATTGTCTTTGAAGAACCTACACGAAAATTTGCAGATGTAGATGTTGCGCATCGGAAAACCAGGTTGGCATTGTTGGAACCTTAGCTGGAAAAACTATTTAGAAATATTGGAGAATATTTTCAAAAGTTTTAGTGGTGTTTTCTTGGTTTCTCTCTCTAAAGAAACCCAAAAATCTCTGTTTTTTTGGATAACGGGTTTTGGAGGCAATGGAGCAGGTTATTGCGAGCAGAGATAGAGGTTGATTAAAGAAATGATAAACAAAGAGGTTTTTTGGAAGCAGATATGGGGGGGATTAAAGGGAAGAGAGAAAAAGAAATGAGAAAGAGAGGGTTTTTGGAAGCAGAGAAACCCCAATAAGAAAGAGAAAGAAAGAGAGTTTTTTGAGAAAAAGAAATGAGAAACCCTAAATGAGAAATGAGAAAAAGTGTTTTTTGGAAGCAGAGAAACCCTAATGAGAAATCAGAAATCAGAAATGAGAAATGAGAAATGAGAAAAAGAAAGAGAGGGTTTTTTGGAAGCAGAGAACCCTAATGAGAAAAAGAAAGAGAGGGTTTTTTGGAAGCAGAGAAACCCTAATGAGAAAAAGAAATGAGAAAAAGCAGAGAAACCCTAATGAGAAAATGCAATAAGAAAAAGCAGAGAAACCCTAATGAGAAAAAGAAATAAGAAAAGCAGAGAAACCCTAATGAGAAAGGGAGAGGTTTTTTGGAAGCAGAGAAAAAGAAATGAGAAAGAGAGAGGGTTTTTGGAAGGGAGAGAGAGAGAGAGAGATTGATTTAGGAGATTGAAGAAATGAAAAACAAAAATGCGGAGATTGCAGTGATAAGAGGGAGAGACTTAAGGAGGTTGGCAGAGAAACTCGGATGGAATCCAACAAGGTCTTTGCTGTGTTTTTGCTTTGCAAGGCTGCATCATGGCTAAGGGGCTCTTCTCTCTCTCTATACGATGAACCTGTGTGTGCTTTCACCATTACTGTTTCAGTATTTTCTTTTTCTTCTCATTTCAGAGATGGGCAATATAGTAAAAGTAACTCTGAAAAAGACATTCAGGGGGTTGCTCTTCTCATATGCGGTTCTAGAAGCCAGCGCTTTCAGTAATCAAACGTGCCACAAGAAGCAGAAAAGCTTCTGACAAGCTCCAACCTGCTAAGTTTCCTGAAACAAGCTTGAGCTTAACATTCTTCATTTTTGCATACTCTCCATAGCACAAATACTGAGAGCCTGGTCATGAGATTAGCGACACTTAAGCGTGCTTGCAAGCTTCTTGTAATTTCCTCATTCGAGAAGCATAGGTAAAACACAGTAATCACTGACGCCTTTGAAGAAGAATAGGATTGACAATCTGTAAACAGAGATTCCAAGATGCCATCAATTTCGTTGATGTCGTCTGTCATTTCACCACTGGAATTGATGTCTTTGATCAAGAAATGTGATTTCTTTCTCAATTCAAGGTTTCCCCTGTCTAAGTCCCTGGATTGAACAGAGAAAAGTCTCTTTAGACGTACAAAAAGAACAAGCTTCCATGGTCCATGGCATCAACTCTGCCATTATCTCCTCCATTAAAGCTCTGCAATCTGAGTTTCCGGCCATTCATTTTCTAACAATTTGCCGAAAAATTGAAACCTTCCGCAATACACAAAGCCTATTTCTCTCACGTCCACTGAATCCTTAAGTTTCCTTCCCATTTTCAAGCAATTTGCAATACCACAATTACTTCAAATTGAGATTTCTGGATTAATTTCAGAAACCTTAGCTTGACTAATTGGAGTCATAGGAGCAGGGATCCTATCAAGTCCATTAGAGCTATTGGCTAGGCACAAGCTCTAAATCATTCAAGAAAGGGCATGGTTAGGTACGACCTCTGGTTCATGAACTGGCGGCTTAGTTATAGAGCAAGTCTTTCCACCTTGTGCGCAACGCTCTTGGCAATCTTATAGCAGTCGGCATTATCACTGGATCCCTCATCAAATCAACAGAGACAGGGCACCTGAAACTGCTTAGAATCTCAATAATGCTTCTGCTTAGAATCTGAATAATGCTCTTGATCCCTGTTTTCAACTTTTCCAGCACCTTCGATTGCTGTGAAAACAATTTCCTGCAAAACTCGGTAGCCTAGGGTTTCTGACTACTAAAATCTTCTAGTTTTTCAGAGAGAGCACTCTATCAACTGCCTGAAATCTTTAGAACTCGGTTTCTAACTCCCAAAAGAATCAGTTTTTGAGAGGAAGAGCTTGACCTATCTAGGAATATTCGGTGCCGAATTCCCACTGAAAAGTGTTCCTCTGGAAATTACGATGGGATTTCAAAAAAAAATGGCTGGACACTTGGCCTCTGCATTCCCGAGCAGGATTCCAGCGACGGGCGGTAGTAAAAATGTGGCTCAGCGTTTTCCAGTGGTCAAGGGCATTTTGGTAAGTTCCCGGCAATTTACTGGCAAGATAATGCTAGAGGGAAAGCAAGGGCGGACAAGAAACAGGGAGAGGCTATGGGAGGGCTCCATCGATGTTGCTTCTGTGGAGTAATTTTATATAGGAAAGCTTTCTATGTTCCCCTCCAGCATAGAAGTTTGATCTTCTTCTTTATCCAACCATCTCTGTTTTTTTATGGAGGGCTAAAATTGCCTCAATCACATCTACACTGTTTTATTTTAAATTTTCTGTAAACTATTTTGACACCAAATTTTGGAAGTTCAATCTTTTATTACTCCATTAACGAAAAATATATATAAAAAAAATTCAATAAAATAAAATAACCAAAATATCCTTGAAACAAATAACCAAAATACCTTTAAAAAATTTGATCATTATTTTTTATCAAAAAATTATTATTAATATTTTTTATAGATGCGCCCCAATGAGAAGATAGCACTTACCAAATTTCATATTCAGAAAATTTGTATTAAAAAAAACTAAAAATAAAATACTTTCAAACGGTGAGTGGTTCTCTTGATAAAAAAACGAATGGTTGAAAAAAAATAGAACTTCTATGTTGTAGGAGAACATAAAAAGCTTTCCTATTTTATATTAAGAATAGTTTAATTTTCCCTATTTTCTATCCTTGATAAGGAAAACAATAAGCATCAAACAACAACAAACAAAATAAATCAACATGTGCTTTATGTGTATCAAGTCTTCTTTTTTTCTCTTCTCTTCGATTTATTTATTTATTTATTTACATGGTGAGTTCTCTGACTCCATTCTCACCAAAAAAGTAAGAGCCCAAATCCCCTGACTTACCATTTTAATTACCAAAAAAAAAAAACAAGTCCATGCTGCTGCAACAGCAAAAGGCAATATAATAACGAAAATAAAGGAAAAAAGAAAGAATAATATTTGCCTGCAAAACATGAAAATCAGGTTGGCCAAAATTCAATGTAATACTAGTGAGAGACTAGCCCAAAGTAACCAAACACTACACTAGGTGAAGTCAGCTGATACTCAAGTATATGGAAATGTTCGTTAGGGAGACAACTATGGAGACTCCACAGCTCCTGTTTTTCACCACTATCATACTGCAACGATCAGTGAGATTTCTCGGCGATCACCTGATATGATGCAAAACCTGTTAGCTATCTCCCTCTCTCTCTCTCTCTCTCTCTNTCTCTCCTCTCTCTCTCTCTCTCTCTCTCTCTCATCTCTCTCTCTACTACTACTACTAACTACTACTACTAACGTACTACTACTACTACTA